CCATTGTGGAAACCTCATTCACACACACCCCAGTTGGGGGCCCAGCATGGTGGAAACCCTGGTTCATCCCACCCCAGGAGCCATCCCCAGGCTGGGTTGTTTGGTAGCTATGGGGTTTGAATTTATTCTGATGCTGGTTCATGGAGTAATAAGAACCAGGGGAGCTTGACTGTGGGAAACCTCATTCACACACACCCCAGTTGGGGGCCCAGCATGGTGGAAACCCTGGTTCATCCCACCCCAGGAGCCATCCCCAGGCTGGGTTGTTTGGTAGCTATGGGGTTTGAATTTATTCTGATGCTGGTTCATGGAGTAATAAGAACCAGGGGAGCTTGACTGTGGGGAGTAAGGGGTTTGGGGGCTTTATGTGTCCAACCAGTTCGGAAGCAGGAACCCCTATAGCAAACTAGCCACACAACTGGCCAAATAGCCACAGGTGGCTAGCGGCTAGCATGTTGGACACCTCGGCTTTATGCCGAGTAAGCAGAGTGGGGCTGCTTGCTTGCCTGAAGAGGCTTTCCCCATGGAGGCATGATTGGAGGAAGTTTATTAACTCACCTGTTGGTCCTCTCTGGAGCACTGTGGTGAGTGGATTCACGTACACATGCTCACTTACCCAATACTCTTTGGTGATCTATAAGGTATCAGTGGGCAGGTGACAAATACTAGTGTAAGGATGCTACGCTGCCCCTGAAGAGAGATGGATTGTAAGTCAGTGAAGACAAGAAAGAGCTGTCACCTTCATTATGATTTTGTTTGTGGCTTAAGTTACAACTCAAGGGTTTAAAATTCAATTGCTTAACCGCAGTGGCTTCCTAATAAAGGTGGAGTAGAACTTGACTGACTGTGTTTTAAGTGACCTGTTAAGTGGTTGCCTAGTAAGCTTTTTCCCTTGTGCTAGTTACATTGATTTGTAAACGTCTTCAGGACCTAGCCACTGAACTAATCTAGTTATTTTAATAGTTTTAATTACTGTATGAATAACCCGAATTAGCCATGCAGCAATCTTACTGAATTGATCCTTGTTTTCCTTTTGCTGTTGAAAGCTGGGAGATATGAAGTGATCATATTCTTTAGCATACACTAGAATATACTTCGATGACCTTTCTCGCTAATAATAATGATAATATGTTTATTATTTGTAGTGTTATAGCACTTAAGAGCCCTAGTATTTGACCAGAACTCTGTTGGGCTAGGTGTTGTATAAACTGAACAAATAGATGCGTATTACAACTAGGCACTGAAAATGTGCCATCTTGAATTGATTTAGTTGTATCACAACACCTTGCTTTAAACATTAAGATTCTTTTTTTTTTCTCCAGGCAAACGTCACACTGATACAGATCAAGAAGACTAAGTCAGAACTCAAGATCTGTCCTGTTGATGGGAGGAAACTGGCCACTGTTCCAGATACAACAGAATAAGAATTTTGAAAGGAATTTCATTAGTCTGGATGTGTCTGAACAGAATAAACAGCATAAACTGAGGCCTGGGGGGTTGAGCCCCACACAGATCTACAACGTGAACCTTTGTTGAGAGGAAAGGGGACACTTTTTTTTGTGGTGACCATCGGAAAGCAACTGAATAAGGAAATGGCAACTTCAGTTGCCACCAAGACAGCTTGGAAGCTGCGTGAGTGTCTTTTATAGTTTTCTCCTATCCTTCATTACATTTTTCAGTTTGAAAATGGGGGGAGGAGGAGAGAGAGAGAGAGTTCCTGTTCTATCTTGTGCTATGAATGAAATTTCCCCAATGAACTGTGCTCTCCCTTTCTAATATGACAAAAGAGCACTCTTTTAATTCAGTGGTTCGGAGGGGGGTGGAGGATGAGAGAGACACTTGTAGAATGGTGACACATGGTTTCCTCTGAACATCCAGCCAAGGTTTCTGATAACTGGAGGTTGATCCAGAGGTAGTGTCCCTTTGGGATTGGCAGTGATGATAATCTCCTATTCATCATGGTGATTCATTTCCATCATCAGGAATCTTCAGATTCCTGTGTTCTGAGGTGGTTTTGGTCATTACATCTTTTTCCCTAAATTTCTAGCTTGTAACAACCCTATTGATTCTCTAATTTAGTACAAGAACAGCCGAGAAACAGGTTGGAACTTTTATAAAGCCAAGCTTGCCTTGGATTGTTCTCCTTGTTTAATGTCCTTATTCTGTTTGGATCACTTTCTATTGCTATCTGTACCATTGGTACTGGTATAGTAGGTTCTTGGCTCACTGGAGGAAGTGTGGTGAGATCATTATAAAACCTGTGTGTCTTCTTCTGTTGATTATGTCTCTGACTTCAGCAGAAAACATTCATGAGAGGTGGTAAACTTCTATTTTTAATCTTTTCTCCAAAGAAAAACAGTGGCAAAAGATGTCCAAAAGAGAAATACAGAAAAATGCTTCTCTTGAAACTATTGCAAATTTTTTGTGAGATGGCCGAGGATAAATGGAATGAGTAGGAAGTAATTGATTGTCCACAACTGTGCATTCCAGGCTGACTCTTTGAGGCCCAGAAATGGATTACTGGGAATATTGCCAGTCTGGGTCACTATGGGATGCGTCTACACTGCGCCTGTAGCTCGAAATAGGTTAAGCAATTTAAGCTACACAAATTGCGTCGCTTATTTCGACTGTATTTCAAAATAGCTTATTTTGAAATTTGGCGCTGCCTACACAGGGACTCTTTACAGGGACATCAGAATAGTGAGCCTGTTGTTTTGAATAGCTGTTTCAGGGTACTGGAGGTATCTTGAAATAGTGCCACTGTCTAGACACAACTCTATTAGCGCCCTTCTTCTAAATATACAGGGTAACTGGCATATATAAACAAAGTCTGTATAGCACCTTTCCATACTACATACCTGGCATCAGTCAGTGCTTCTATTCATTTTTTCAGAATCAGAAAAACAGTTTTCTTACTGTCTTCTCCTTACTTGCCCCCTCCCTCAAATTCTGAAGTTCACAGATTACTGGAAAAGACAGCACTTTGGTCAATTTAAAATCTCCATCCCATTTCATTCAGCAACTATACATGTGCTTTTGATCTTTAATAACACTGTGTCCTACCTCATTTTTAGCTCCACCTTCAGAGTAGTGATCATTCAAGTCCTAAGAAAAAGGTGTAGCCAGGATAATTAGGTGTTTAAAGGTTGCTGAACCAATATGTGGTAGTTAATGAGAGCATCTTATGAAAGGGTTTGTGGACTTAGGGAATTTAGTACTTCAAAGAGTGAGGGTTCTACTAACACTTTTTTTTAACGCTGGCATAAAATTGTAATCTGACGTTTATAATCAGGGGTTGAATGCTTCAGCAAGCTACCACTTTTTTTTAATGCTGGCATAAAATTGTAATTTGACGTTTATAATCAGGGGTTGAATGCTTCAGCAATGACTTTTAAACACTGCACTACATTATTAATAAAAGATAAAGAGGGGGGTATTGTGAATATTCACATTTCACTACAAATTTAGCACTGCACCATCCAATGTTAAATAATCGCTATTTGTCCATTGATACCAAAGGAGGATTTATGTAACTGGTATTATATGTGACTTTGATTTTCATGTGTTGACACATTCTCTGGTTTAGTACTGTCATGTAGAATATTGGTCTTTCATTATACCGCAAGTCCATCTTCAGCAAACTTCCTTTTCTCATTTAATGAATAACCTAATTACAACTGTAACATGAAAGATGTTTCTCAAGCCAATGTGAAAGTTATGTGTATTCACTTTTTGTAAAGTGCTTTGAGATCCTCAGATCAAAGAGCATGTAATTTATTCCTGCCCTCTAAAATCTTGGAATATTAGTGTCACTTGTAACAAGTGAGTCATTTCACACCCAACTATCAGAACGAGGGCTGGATTGGTTATTAGCTAGCATTTTTACAAATGTTTTTTAACTATTATCAATACAAATCTAGTGGGCTTTAAAAGACAAGAACTTTTTAGTTTTGTTATTCAGGAAGTGGTAAATGCATTTGGTGAAAATGTAACAATTTAGGTTCATTTTGAAATGTGCGCTAATATAAAACATGCAGGTCTGGCTCCTTATAGTGAGAATTCTCCAAAGTACACCAAGATATTGGGGCTGCCTTCTCCACCAGTCTTTATGAAAAGCTACTTTAACCCCCTCCCCCCAAACATGACTTTTTAGTTTTTCTTCCTCGTTCAGTCCCTCTAAAGCATATTCGTGTCCATCCTGCCAATAGGGATGTCTTTTGTCCTTGCCCCATGCTGACTGTATTGCTCTGCTTCACTTACATTACATGCTGAGAATATAGGCAAAGTCCCTGCCAAAGCTGAAGTAGAAGGGAGCTCCACCCATCCCAGGAGCTGAGTCTGATTTTGTCTGTAAGGTAGCACGCTGTGCAGTTACTGCAAACCTGCCAGTTTGTCTCAGCTAGTCAGTCTTAACTTTTGCTTCCATCCAAAACAATATTAGCGGGCCTTTCTCTAAATGAGTGGTAGCTGCTTTGTACTATGCCAACTTCTGAGACCATTCATCATGCCAGGACAGTTCATACAGGTACTGATGACAAACTAGTTTCTACAAGGCATGTGCTGGAACCAAGCAAATTCTTCTTTTAAAAGCTACTGAGTTACTATTAGTGAGATAAGAGTCTTTGTGAACCACCTTGAGACTAGAGAGGGTTGGGGAAAGTTGATTGGCACATGTCATCAAGCATGACGGACAGGGCCAAGAGGGGGCTGCCGCAAACAAGATAAGTAAGTAGTGTGGTTTCTTATCTGAACTCTAGGGTGGTGCAGTTTGCCCAGTTGAAACTGGGAAGTCTTTCTGTAGAATGAAGATTACTAGTCTGCCAGGAGAAGAAAGTGATTACACAAGATAAATTGGGTATAATAAAAATACTTATTGTGGCTCTTTTTTGCTTTTTTTTTATACAGAAGAGATCACAGCTCATAGCAGCAATGTGTCCTCGCTGGTACTGGGCAAAAGTTCAGGTCGGCTGCTGGCAACTGGCGGAGATGACTGTCGGGTCAATTTATGGTCAGTTAACAAGCCCAATTGCATCATGGTAAGAGGTGGCTGTTTTTTTATTTGGTTATTGTTTTGCTTGCTGCGGGAGGAGGCAATTGATTTGCATTATGAACACCAGAGAGAATCTGGCACATCCAGTTATAAATGCCCCAATGAGGCTTCACTAAACCTTCTTCTTTACTTGGGATTGCTGCAGATACAGTCAGCTAACTTTGGTGGGCTAATAGCAGCCAGCAGCCACAGAGTTTGAAAGTGACGTTGTCCCTTACGCTCACATGACTCAGAACCGGCTCTAGTTCTCTTCCCATTCCCTGATAAGGCCCAGCTTTGTGACAGAGGCCTGCAAAAGAGAAGGGTCTAAAATGAGTGGCATTTAATAAAAATGGAAATGATTCATTTCTTCAGCAGGTGTACATTTTTTCTATGACTCTAGTTTCTTGATTCATTAATTTTTATTGGGGAGATCACCAGTTACGTGGGTATCAGGTGAATTTGGGTCTCTAGTAAGGGAAATGCACAGAGCGAGGGGATAAGAACAGGAGCAGTATTTAGGAGGAGTTCATAGGTGGTTGAATATGTGGGGAGGGCAATAAGATGTCCTCATAGACTTTCTCGTTCACCATCAACTTAAAAGTGTAATCCTTAATTCTTTCGTCCCTCTCAGCTAGGGATGTCAAGAAGTGTGTAATTCGCTCTCGTGTAGTCAGCAAAAATTGTGTTGACTATATGATTAATCAATAAGGCTTAGCAGTGAAAGCCCTCAGTCCCAGCTCGTGCTGGGTCCCAGCCTCAACCCTGCTGCTGCTCTGCATTATTAGTCGATTGGGGAGCCGGCTTGCAGGCAGGCTGGCTGGCTCAAGTCTAGCTTGTGCCAGCTCCCCAGCCCCTTAATAATGCAGTGCACAGTGACTATTTATTCTGGGACCTGATCCAACCCAGGACTGAGCCAACCTGTCTGTGTGCTGGCTCCCCATCTCTTATTAATGGAGAGCCATGGAGGGGTTGATGCTGGGACCTGGCCAGCCTGTTAAAAAAATGTACTTGTAGAGCTGTGGGGAAGTGAGGGCAGAGATGTGTATATCTGATAGAGTTAACCAATTGTTTAGTCAACTACACCAGCGTTTCCCAAACTGTGGTCCGCGGCCCGAAAAAAAATGCCGGGCCTCAGCGTGCCTGGTGGCTGCCGGCCCTTAGGCCGATTCGACCCATTTGGTCGAATCGGGCCCCACGCCCCTGCACTCGGAAGTGCTGGCGAGTTAAGAGCCAGGCCCTGCTCCAGCGCTCTGTGGAGCTGGGTCTCTCCCCGGCTCTGCCTGGAGCGGGCCCCGCCCCCGCGCATCCTCTCCGGCCCCGCCCCCAGAGCGTCCCCTCGGCCCCGGATGTCTCTGCCGCGCGTGGCTCCTCCTCGCCGCCTGCCGCCCATGCGCGGCGTTGCACGTGGGCGGGGAGGATGTGACGTCACGGCCCGGGGTTTTGAAACCCGCGCGAGGCACGTGGTGGGGCCTGGCTGGCTCCGGGTTCGGCCTCCGGGGCCTGAGCGCGGACCCCGGCCCCGCAGCGTGGAAGGAGAAGGTGGGAACCAGCTCGTGCGGCAGGGGGGGCGGGGGCGGGGGAAGGGGGGGG